TTCTTATGCATGAAGTTTAGCATCATTCTGTCAACCAAAAAAAAGTCAGGAAGGTTTTGATAGAAAGTGGGCTTAATATATTTTTGTACATGGAAGTGACAGTTTTCTAATGGTGATGAAATATGTGAAAATTGAAGTTTCAAGTAGAGAGCATGAGATATAGTAGATGAGCTACTCCTAGATTAAATCATCAAATGCATACGTCAGAAGTTATACCCAAGAACCAGTTCCATGATTGTGGCATGCCTCACCTATCTTAAGTGAATAAAATGTACACGGAGGATTCTGGGTTTTTTTTCTGAGAGGAGAGTGCTAATTGTGGACAGAGATTTCCTCTGACAGAGTGGTAGGCTGTGCTGAGGAGCACTCATTATAGTATTCCCAAATTGGAAACAACCTATATGTCCATCAACAGTAGAGTGGATAAATTGTGGTGGATTCATACAATGGAATAGTATGTGGCAATAGAAAATACATACTTCTGATGCACATAACATGGATGACTTTCATAGGATATTTTTGAGTGAAAGTAGCTGGATGCCAAAGAGAACATACTACCTGTAATCTATTTGTATGAAGTTTACAACAGGTAAAACTAATTTACAGGGGTAGAGATCATAATAGTAATCTTTGAGGAGGTAATAAGTTAGAGATGGCAAAAGAGAGTCTGCTGGGATTCTGAATTGTTCTATATCTTGATTTAGATGGTGGTTAAACATACAACATACACATGTATATCTATGTAGATATACAGAAAACCCATGAAAGAAGAGAATTTTAGGAAGAAAGCCTTATTTTTAAAAATATTTTCCTCAAGGAGTTTAACAAACCAATTAATTCTAGGGATCACTTCTATACTTTTCTTAGTTTTTCAGGAGAAGCATAAAAATACAGAAATACCAAGTGGACTACCTGGGAGCATGACCACTATTTAGCCTTACTCAGACATTAGTTCTAGGATCTACATCTTCAAAATTGTGAAATGTTGCAAAAAGATGAAGAAAACTGATGGATGACATTGGATTTGTTAAGAAGATGTCAGAGAACGGTAGTTTCTGAAATCAGTTTATTCCCCGATTCATTTACCATTTTCCCACCTTTAATAGTGATGAATAATGTTAAGATATTTTTACTCTATTTCATTTGTTACCTGTTTTACTATCTTTTTAAATGTACCAGAATCTGAAACTGTCTTGATGATTTACTAAATATCTGTGTTTGTTATTATTAGTTATCTGTACCTATTGTAAAAAATTTCCATTAACTTGGTAACTTAAAACAACATAAATTTATTCTCTCACAGTTCTCGAGGCCAGAAGTCCTAAATCAGTGTCACTGCACTAAAATCAAAGTGTCAGCAGGGCTAGGCTACCTCTAGAAGCTCCAGGGTAATTTGTTTTTTGCCTCTTCCAGCTACTAGTGGCTGCCCACATTCCTTGGCTAGTGGCTGCATCATTCTAGTTTCTGTTTCCATGGTTATATTGCCTTCTCCTTTTATGCCTGGGCCAAATCTTCCACTTCTCTCTTACAAGGATACATGTGATTGCATTGAGGGCCCACCAAATAATCCCAGATAATCTTCCCATCTCAAAATCTTTAACTTAATCACAACTGAAAGATGCTTTTCCAAATAAGGTAACATTTACAGATTCCAAGGATTACGACCTGATATCTTTATGTGGCTATTATTCAGCCTACTACATCCCTCTACCAGAATGTAAATTCCATGGGAACAGAGCCTTTGTATGCTTTGTTCACTTCTGTGTCTTCAGTGCTTAGATGAGTTGTGAACAAGAATGCCTGGTACACAGTAAGCAGTCACTAAATATCTGTAAATTTAATTACTTAAAAAATTTTTTTTGAGACAGGATCTCACCCTGTTATCCATGCTGGAGTGCGGTGGCATGATCACCGCTCACTGCAGCCTTGACCTCCCAGGCTCCAGTGATCTTCCTACCTCACCCTCCCGAGCAGCTGAGACCACAGGTGCCCACCACTATGCCAGGCTAATTTTTGTTTTTTAAAGTTTTTGTAGAGACAGGATCTCCCAATGTTGCCCAGTCTGGTCGTGAACTCCTGGGCTCAAGTAACCCTCTCGCCTTGGCCTCCCACAGTTCTGGAATCACAGGTATGAGCCACCATGTCTAGCAGTCACTAAGTATTAAGGAATCACTTTGATCATCTTCCTGATCAATGGGGAATGGGGAGTTTTTGTTTCATTGAGAAAGATATATCTATTACCATTAGCTGTAGTTTATAGTGATAAGCTTTGGCTCATCATCAGAGATAATATTTTAATAAACAGGCCTATCCATCTACAGTCCGGGTTGTTTCATAAAGGAACGAACTATTTGAACGTGGATGTATTCAAATAACGTTTGAATAATTATCTTAGAGATGCTATAAAAGATTTTTTATAGAACTCTATAATTCTTTTATAAGCCTTTTGTCTATTAGTTTTAAAACCACTGAAGACCATTCCTCTAATTTTTGACCTTGTTAAGGGCATTGTACAAGAGAATTCACAAAGATATTTTCTTTTTGGTGGATCAGCTCTATTTTTCTTTAGCATGTCAGAGTATCATACTGTAAGGTCTGAATGCTAACACAGTCCTCCTCACAGAGAGTTTTTTTTTCTTTTTCTTTACCAAAATGGCTCTGTCTTCGAATTCTAACTTTAAACCCAGAAACTTGCCATATGTGTAAAATATGGCAACTAAAATAAAGCAACTGACTTTTTGTTTTATATACCACCACCATCCTATTGATATACCCATATCCAAATGAATGTTGTCATCTCTCAATCAAATCAGTCATCTCAGAGATTGGTGAGTGGAAAATGAGAAGTTTTCTTCTAGATTTTCCTCCATATAAAACCACACGTGAAAATCAGGCTTACGAGTTCAGCTCTATGTAGTTTTTGGCCAAAGTAGTTATGTCAGTTGAAATTTTTTTGTTTGTAAGGAGCAGAATATATCACCAAAGTACCTTATTATTTCCCATATCAAGAAACCTAGAAGATAGGCTGAAGAAAGTGTAGTAGTTCTGAAAATCCTGTTCTTACCCAATAATGACAGCAAAGGAAGGGAGGAGGAGGGCTCTCCAATGTCTCTTCTTTTTTCTTTTCCTTTTTTTTTTTCAACGATGGGGGTAGGGTTCTTCTACAAATGTCTTCCAAAGGACACTGTCTTCTGTCTCATTTGTTGGGTGGATCACATAGCCATGTAAGGAAGAGTGGAAAAGCAATTTTCTTGCATTTTAACTGTCCTCATGGACAAGAAGGGGTTAAGTCTGTCCTCACTGGAAGAAGATTCTTCACACTAACAAGTACATATTCCCTTTCTTCTATTTCTCATGAACAAATCTGGTGAATAGAAAATTGGTGGCGGCAGTGGTGGTGGGGGACTGGGGAAAGAATTGTGTACTAATACTTAAGTGGTTACCTATAATTGTGGACCAGCCCTATCTGCAGATGAAGAGACTGAGGCTCTACATAAGACACTTGTGTAAGGTAAATTAGCTAGAAAGTAGTAATGCTTCCAACATGAACCATCATCTAATGATGATGACGATGAGGTGATAATTACACTGGTAAATACTGAGTGCTTACTACACACCAGGCATTGTGCTCTCTATGCTGCTTTATACCGATTATTTCATTTAATTTTCAACCCTACAAAGGCAGTAGTCCGTTTTACAGATGAACGAACTGAGGCTCAAGGACACATATCTAGTAAACCTGTGATTAAATTCCAGTGCTGCCTCCAGGTCTGGGCATTTCTTTACACTGTTCTGCTTTCCTGTTCTAATGTTCATATGCTCTCCAAGACTACTGCCTCTAGGATAAGCATTTTGTAACTTAAGATTTTTCATCTGCAAAATGGGGATAATTACACTTTGTAATTCCTATAAGGAGTAAAAGTAATAATAAATTTAAAGTGATTAACAATGAAACAAACATAGCAGGACAGATGATTTTTTAATTTCTCTCACTATATTGTAATTTTCATTTATGCCATTTACCTACAGACTGAGATCATTCAGGGCAGCAGGTCTCAAATTATCTGTACTCAGGGCCTCTCTATACTGTTAAAAAATGACTGTGACCTCCAAAGAGCTTATGTTTATTGGTTTACACCTCTCATTACTGCATTGAAATTAAAACTGAGAAATATTTAAAAACAAGCACAAGCTCCCTTAGCTGCCAGTGACAACGTCGTACACAAAGCGTATCCTTCAGAAACGGTAGACTAGTGAGAGAAGGAACCTGAGAAAGGCAGACGAGGTGTATTATTATGAAAATTGTTCTGAGGTCGTCGGGACCCCCAGTGGTCCCTAGACCACACTTTATGATAACTGCTGCCCTAGGGCAAAGATGGGGTGCCAGGAGGTTGGTGCTCAGCAGCTTCTGAGGAACGAACCATGGGAGCCTGGGGCTCAGATGAGGAAACGAGAATTAGGCCGAAATAAGCAGCGCGAGAGCTCCACTGTACCCACGGACGCTACTATGGCTTCCCCGCAGCTTCGGCCCTTAGCAGTTGTCCCCTTCTCCGATCCTCTTCTCCGCTCCGGTTTTTCAGGGGTCCTCCCTGGAGCGCTCCGCCCGGCTACGGGCATCCCGGGTGCCCGGAGACAGGCCCCGCCCCGCCGCCGGTCCGCGAACTCCCGGCTGCCAGGCAACCCTGGCGCGCTGCCCGAGGCGTCACTGCCCCACCCCGTCAGGCTGAACCATTCCCTTCAGGGACCATCTCAAGAGGGAAGAGAAAAGGGAATGTGATGGAACGCCTGAAAGCTTCTCTGCTTCCGTTTTCTCTCCTTAATTTGAAAGAACATTTCTTTTCCTCTTCTAACCAATTACCTCCTCAAGGGCAGCGCAGCGACTCGCCTCTCCCGCCGGAATGTCTCCCCTGAGTCCAGGCCCCCAAGTGGTTCGGCTCGCCAGGGAGGCCCCTGGTCGGCGCGGGTTGGCGCTGAGGCGGGGGCGCGCTCCCGACATGCGCGCGCGGGGGGGCGGGGGCGAGCGCAGCGGGAGGGGAGGCGGGCAAGATGGCGCCTGGCGAGTGATTCTCCTCGGATCCCACCTGCTGGCGCGGAGACACCGGGGCGGGGGTCCTGCCGCCACTACCTCCCTTCCTCCTGTCTCCCGCCCCCGGAGCCTTCCTCCTTCCCTTACCCCCCTCCACCTCGGGGGGCGGGCCTGGTTCCTGGAACACCATGTCGGACTCTGAGGAGGAGAGCCAGGACCGGCAACTGAAAATCGTCTTGCTGGGGGACGGCGCCTCCGGGAAGGTCAGTCCTCGAGCGGGCCCGCCGTCTCAGGCCTGCAGGAACCCCGGCGCCCCCCGGCCTCCTCCCCGCAGCCCAGCGTCGCCTCGCTACCCCGAGTCCCCGGGCTTCTAGGCCCGGGCCCGTCTGGTCGTGGCCTGTGGCCGGACACGAAGTGGGCGGTTGGTGAAGGCCGTCGAGAGCTGTCCAGTTCCCCCTTAAAAAAAAGTCACTTCCTAACTCCCCGCCGGGATTGCGAACTCCTGCAAGACTCGGGCCAGCCTTTCACCTTCCCGCCTCTCAGGACTGGCAGGGATCTGCCAAGGCATCTTAGCTCCTCTGACTTGTAGCCCGGGTCACACTTGCTCCTCCCCTCCCACTCCCTTTACGGTTTCTGATGCTTCCACTGCACCGTAAGCTCCCAGGAGGGTGGCTCTGGAATCAGCATTCCCCGGGTGAGAATTGGGGCTCCGCCACTTAGTCGTCGGGTCATTGGAGGGTAAATGGCTGACCGTTTTGCGCTTCATCTGTGAGATGGATATTGAAAGGGGCCGCCGCAAAGGGAGAAATGTGAAAATACGTATTAAATATGAAAATGCACATAAAACCTTTTAGAGCACAGTGTCCACTGAATACACGTTGGTTGCTATTTCAGTATCATACCTGTTCATCACTTCTATTTCCAGCTCAGCACTCGGTACAAGCAGTCAGTCAACAAGTGTTTATGGAGCTCCTGTTATGGGCAGGATGCTTAGGGTAGCGGTGCCCGCGTGACAAAAGGGGTCCCTGGTCGAATGAATGAGTGCTGGCGTGAGAATATCAGGCAGCATCAGTCTTATTATCTCCTAGGCAGCGGTTCTTACCCCAAGGTTGTGGAACTCCTGAAATGGAGTAAACACTGCCCGGTGTTTGCTCTGGGGAGAGGGTCCATAAGATCTCAGAGGGGTCTGTGATCCCTCCCCCAACAAATAAAGTGAAGAGCCTCTACCCTGATGCCTTCTTACCCATGCTTCTGTCAAAGGCGCCAACACTTTCTGGGAATATTGCTAAAGTTTATTTCCCCTCTACTCCTCTCCATTATCCAAACCATAGTCTATAAAGAAACCCAGGTTCATATTTCCTGTTTAAGGCTTCACATTGCCCCGCTGCTGGTCGCAGTTTAGACCCTGGCTTCTCTGGTGACGACTTCTCTTTGCATCCTCCCTGGCAGTTGGCAGTGCACAGCTAACCTATTTCTGCCTTTGGTTCTGGTATTTGAGCCTCGAGGTCCCCTGGGAAAGATGTAAAATTTCATACGCAAAACTTGGAGTATTTTGTTATTTCTTTCTTGTTGTCTTGGGTCCTTTGTTATAGATTTTTAAAGCTGAGGAAAACAATATGCTATGATTGCCTTTAAACGTTGGGGGAAGAAAGGAACTTGGGGTAACTTTTCTTTATGAAGTATATGAATTTTTGTATACTTAGTAAACTTTTCGAATGAAAATGAATTTTTATAAATCAACATTGTTTCTAACACCTTTATTCAATGAAAAGTTGCTTAGATTTTTATAGTTTTCTCATTTAGATTTTCTTTTGAAGACTGTCTAAGGTTTTGCCTCTTAAATTTTACTGCATTCAATTCATAACTGATCTTATTTCCCATTTAAAATGATAATGACGACCCCTAACATAATACATGTGTAAAAAGACAAAAAAATTGCTAGTTATCCTATATGCTATCATAATGCTTTAAACTTTTGTTCATTTTTCTAACAGTATTTATTGTACATATATTACTGTTAAAATTTGTTCATAATTTTGTGTCTAAGGTTTTTATTTAGCCTGTCATACATGTTTTTCCTTTGTTGCTTACTTGGTGTGAATGATTATGGTTTTTCGTCTCTGTTTAAAATTTTTTCTAGTATAGTACAGCATAATTTTTTCACTTTCATGTGTTTCAATTAGTATTGTCATTCTGCTTCAAAAGTTAATGGTAATATTTTTTATGATGCTCTGACTTAATCTTCATCACCTTGACTAAATAACTTATTTTAAAACAGTAACAGCTTTTCCTGCCAGGAATTTCCTGACACAAATGTCTGACACCTAACCTACTTTCATTATTCTTAAATCAAGAATTTTTTTCTCCATACCCTATTCAGTTCTCAAATAATTGGCAGCCACCAACGTTCCCCTTCTTTTTCCTTTATTGTCCTTTTCTTTTGTGAACTCAGCCTCTCTTTCATTCTTATTTGTATCCTGATTTAACTCTTGGATGTTTTTTCTAACATTTGTTTTTCCTGTTCATTCTAACTCTGAGCATTTTTTTTTTAACACACTGACAGATGCAGTAGAGTGTTGAGATGACGACTTACCAGTTTCTCCAAGAGAAATTTAGCTCCTCCCTCCAGTTCACGTGTTTCTATTTGTTTCCTTTTCTGATTCATATTTTTTTCTTTATTATATAATCTCTTAAGAGCTTTTTGAGGCAAAATATTCCTTTTTCTGTCTTTTCAGTGTTAGTAAATGTAGCATGGTTAAAAAATTGTTAGTATAAATTTTCCAAATCAAAAAATGTAAAGATTCAGATAAAAATATTTATTATATGGGAGGTAGTTGTTCACTTCAAACATGTAATTAAAAAGGGTATTTATACGGTGACTTGCGTAATTATTGAATGTGAAAGAAGGTGTCAAGTCTAGATAATTGAAGAGAAAGTGTCCCCCTCTGATACAGTTGATTCTCTGTTCAATTTTTATAGCAAGATATCAGGAGATGATATAGTAAGAACTTATTTTAATATTCTGTATGTTCCCAATAACCTGTATTTCTGAGAGCTTATACTTGATTCCAGTTGAAAATCCTAGCTTTATGTTTGCCTCAAAAGTATGAAAGAAAGGGCTTTCAAAATCTGGAAGTCACTTTTTCAGGAAAAGAAACTAAGAATTTTTCTGAATATTTCCTTAATATGAAAATACTGAACTTTGACTTTCTTTAATTAAAGTGAAAAATTATCTCAACATTACGTGGATGTTACTCATGCCTTCAGTTTCTGTTTGACCTTTGAGTATATCAACCATCAGTATATTAAATATTTTAAAATACCTGTAATAGTATGAGTAGTGATAGTTATTTTTTTCAAGAATTCTGAACCTCTTCAAAGATGGTTTGTGGTCTAAGTTAGATAAGCTCAGTAGAATAATATAGTGTAAATGAGAAACAAAAATCTGTAAAAGGAAATACCTATCTTTTCAATTCTGATCTTTCAATTCTGATATTGTTACATGTGTCAAAAATATAACAACTGTGTTTATTTCTAGATGTCTAGCAGAATACCGTTCATATGGCAGTGCTCAGTAAATACTTGGCCAATTATCTTAGAAATTTATTACAAATGCTGGGTATTTAAACACAAAAATATTTGGAGTTACGGTGTCCAAATTGCCATTTGTGTGAAAAATATGGTTCTGTGTAAAAGGAATTTTAGATTATCTTGCTAAAAGGAATTGAAGTTTGGCCAAATTTTCTTTTGCACTGTTGTGCTACCTATGCCATAATAAACTGTAATGAGCTATCTTGGAAATTTTATCTTAGTTTTCATTATTTTAAGAGTTGACATGTAATTTTAACTTTGAAAATTAAAAAAGCGATTTTCTCTTAATGTAGGGAATCTGTCTTGAAGAGCGTAAAGCTTAGTGAAGTTACCTTTCTCTTTGTTTTGGAGGAAGTTTATAAATAAAAGTAGTGCATTTAAAATGTTTAAGAACTTGTTGAGTTATTGTTATTCGATTGTTACTAGAATAATTATTCTTTTGCTTTGATAAGAAATGCTACTTTAAAAAGAAAACTCCGGAGTTTTTGAATAAAACTAAGTTAGATAAGATCTTTAATTATGTTTTAAAATAATTCAAATATTTAATTACTATTATTATTTTTTAAGTTTTTTCTGTTGATAATTCTCAAATTCTGATTTTCAGTAAGGAAAAGGATCTTGACAAGCAGGGGATTTAAAGGGGCCTAACTCATTAGTTTGTTGTCCCTACTGATAGCTGCTGGCAAGTGAAATTTACCTGGTGGTATTAAGTCTCTCCTCCCCTTGTAACTGATTAGAACTGCTTAAAGTTGCTTGTCGAATTAATTGGAGTATACATGTTAAGATTGTTCAGTGAGATTTAGTAGTGGTCTTATGTTTATATTTCTTTAATGAATTAATTTTGGTATTCTGTGTATCCATTTTTTAGACCTCCTTAGCTACGTGTTTTGCTCAAGAAACTTTTGGGAAACGGTACAAACAAACTATAGGACTGGACTTCTTTTTGAGAAGGATAACATTGCCAGGTAAGAGACTAAAAAGTCTTAATGTAGAAGATTATAAAAAATCTTACAATAAGTGGCATAAAGCAGAAACGTGTAAGATGTTGGGGCTGCTTCTACTTGAAAATATATGTAATCAGTAAATTTATCTTAGGGAGGTTAACTTTCATCACAATCTATCATATAGGCATACTGTCCATGGGTGTGAGAAAAAGTTTATATACTCTCTCACTCCTTCCCTGTTTTTGGCTACTATACACTTTTTGAGAATAAACAATTGTTACTTATAAAATTCTGAAAAGCTTTTAAAAAATTAAGTGCTATCCATTTGTCAACAGATACTGTATTAACAAAATGTGAAAAGATTGGGAAGGATTATTTTTTAAAATATTATTTTGATTTGCCTCTGCTTTAGTTTTTTGTTTAAAAGTTGGAACAGAAGTATAATGTAGCTATGGAACTTCTGTGCTCTAATATGTGAATGCTGTTTTATGCAAGGCAGCATGAAATTGCTGGCATTTAATAGACCACTAAAATTTAGGGTCCCTAGGCACTCATAAAAATACAGTTTGAGCATTCAAGATGTTTCACTTCACCATGCAAAGAAACTATTTAGATGCCAGTTGCAGCACATTTTGTGGGAAATACGGTGAAATAATACAAAGAAAGAGTGGTTTATGTTTTAAGTTAGCTACTGAACAATTGGGGCTTTAAAATGCTGTCCTTTCAATTTCAATGGTTAAATTCTATGTTTAAAGTGTTTTATTAAAAGCAGTTTATCTTGATTGACTTTATAAACCATCCATTCCTCTCTTCTGTGAGGAAGCACATTTGGAGAAAACGGTTGCACGTGTAATGTCTGATTCATGTACTGAAATGTGAGTGATATAGTGGGAAGGGGTTTAATAAATTCCAATTATTATTGAAATATGTTAACCTCTCAGACACCCCATCTATCAGACAACTCCCCATGAAAGTTTTAGAGTAGCTAATGAAAACTCTTGGTTATGGAGGTATTCTTCTTATCTCCTTAGTAATATCCTCAGTTATACTTTCTGATGGTTTGTATTTGGCTACCAATGGAAAATAGATTGGGAGATATCCCATGGGGGAAAAAAGAATTCCAATTTTTCTATTAGTGACTTATTGTTCAGCAAGAGGTTTAAGAAGAAACATATGCGTACTTTGTTTCATTTGTATTTTCTTTTAATGTCTCCAAAACAGAAAATGTCATTTTAATTTTATTATTCTCATTCTTACGGATAACCTATGCTGCATTCAGAATACTTAACAGCAGTCACTAGCCAAATACATACACAAATCACATAATATAGATGCTGGAAGCTTATTTTTTGCAGCAGTTTTTTTTTTCACAAATGCCAGTTGTACACAGAGAACCTCTATATAGTATTTCGTTAATAGCTATTTTGTTTTGATGCCTAATTTGAAAAACTACCAACTTTTTGTCTCATACTTCTAATATTTCTCATTTTTTAGTTGAAAAGCTTAAGTAAACAAATACCTACTCAAATATTAAAAACAAAGCCTGGTTTTAGACATTTTATATAGGCGATATATGTGATGATTTCTGACCTGTGGCATAGCACTACCAATTTACAAACTTTGAATACTTTGTAAAAAATATTTGATATTCTTGAAATCCAGATTTATAGTATAATATTTTGGACTTAGACAGTACTTCGGTTAAAAAATGACATTAAGGCATGTTTACTTTTAATGAATGTATAATTTTCCTAATTAAGTTTTATTTTGATGGCAAAGTTCCAGAAAAAAGTTCTGTATTTTTTTAAAGCTGTTGGTTTTATGCTATTTAATAAACTCAAACTTACAGTAGAAATTTCAATAGGAAAAGTTTTTTTTTATATATTTTATTTTTATATATTTAATAGGTATATTAAGAAATAAGGTGAATAAATTACAAGCTTTGTAATTATCCTTTATATACTTTAATTTAAATTCATTTTAGTGTCAAATGTAGAATGATTAATATGTCATTTGCTGAATAAAATATTATAGGTGGCTTTATTGAATTTATGGCATAGTAGGTGAATCTAATATTTGTTAGTAGTCTACTAAGTCCTCTGACCAGTTAGATTGTTAGAGGCGTAAACCTCCTGTCCATCTATTTACCTTCTCTTCATGCAAGTTTTCAAGATCATTACTTTGCATATACTCATCCATTTTAGTATATTTCATGATCTGGTATGCTGTATAGTCTGGATGCAACCACTGTGCAGATTTTACTGCTTAAAATAGTGGATCTGTTTGTCAGAGATTCTGCTGATAGAGCTTCTTAAGAGCCTTAGTCAAAATACTTTCAGGAAGCTTGTGGGTACAGTCCAGTAAACAGCGTTCTACTGTGAAAAAGATTTCTAAGTCTTTAGTACAAGAAGTGGGCAGACTTGTGTTTTTAGTTCCATCTTGACTATGCAGCACTTTAAGTAAGGTTAACCAAGGCACCAAGTGTACTTTTACAAGGTCACTCTTGAATCCTGTTGGTGGCTTTAATTCATACCAAAAGCAACTTACCTGTGTTTTGTCACCTCATTTATTTTATTTTTCTCCTAGTTACATGTTATTTCTTACAGAGGAACAGGATTTTTGTAGCATTTTGTGTTTGGGATTAAATTTCTGACAATTTCCTCAATGTTCTTTACTAGTTAGAAATTTGTATTAGATTCTTGATTTAAACAAAATTATATTATTTGAATATTCTTATATAGCTTTATAGGTATGTCATCTTGAAAATGTACTAGGAGCATTCATATGTTTATACCTGCAAAGACAAAAATGAGTATTTATATGAATCATGTCCTCGTGATTTTGCTCCTCAAATGCAGACTCCACATTTTATTTTTAGTTTTATGTGTTAATACTCCTAAAATTCGAATGTGGAGTTAAAAATATATTTCTAGATATATATGAAGTTATATCATTTGTTGAAGCTGTAAATATAGTACTTTTTTGTTAGCATTCTATATTAGTGGACTATCAGTAATTCACAGCTATTTCTATTTCTGAGTCACTAGAATTTATATTTTAAAAAACCAGGCAAACAGAACAACAGGGTTTATTTGGAAAGGCATGCATTTAAAAAGTATTCTCAACACATGAATATGAACCTCTTAGTTGAGAGACAAGTGGGTGGATAGATGACTTAGGGTCTTGATATGATTGTAGTCAGAATTTGAAAACATGTAATGAATATCATGTTCCTAATACTATAGTCAGAGTGTTCACAACACCTAATTCAGATAGGATCTGAATACCAGAACTTAAAGGAAAGAAAAAAGCTTTATATTTCTTAATGTGAAGTTAAGCAAGAAGGATTATTGGCTCTGAAAAAATAGGATTAAATACCTTTTAGTACTTACTAAGTATTGCCTAAAATCTTACTCTGCAAAAGTTAGTATTGTTAAGCACTGTCTTTTGAAGTAAATAAATAACTCTAAAGAGTTGTGCAAGTAAAATGAGTAGACTACTGCCTGTTTATCTAGGGGTTTCTGAAACTATTTTATATACTTCTTAGTGATGTGTACTTCTTCTTTCTCATCTGCTTAATTTAAGACAACATTATAGAAGAATTATTTCAGCCTTGAATCTAAAAAAAATGATTTTTGAGAAATCGATTTGCATAAATTTTTGGACAAATCTTAGTCTGATATTTTGGTTTTCGATTTCATAGGGCTTTAAGAACATTTTGGTCATTACTCTGTGTGTTGAAAGTGTGAGTCTGTGGGAATGATGTCGATGATAAAAGCGTAGCTCTCATTAATGCTAATGGAAGTTCCTCATGGAAATCTTCTGCACGGTGGCAGATAGAACAACCTAAGTTTAAATAATGGAAATATTTATACAAACCCACCAAAATTTAGAAAACTGTGCTGGTTAATCCAATGTCTTTTTCTTTTCAGTTGCATAGTTAAGTGGTATGACTAACATTCTCTGATTTTAGTGTTTTTTGTTGGCACATACACTTATATCTTTATAATCTTTTTTTTGAAGTGAGATCATTTTCTAGTTTCTAAGCTTTTATTTTATTTTCTTTTGATTTGCAAATCATTCAGAAAGTACTAATTGATATTCTGGAGAAAACTGCATTAATTTTATGAGGCGAATAGTTTACAATGTTAAACTAAAAAGCAGAGTTTGGCTTTTGTAGCGTACTCATCAGTTGCATTGAGAAGAGTGAATAGCTTATCTCATAAATTTTTGTATCAACTAAATATTTTACAAAATGCATAAAGGATTTTAAAAATTGCCTTTTAGAATGCTTTAATAATGCTTGTATGGGGAAGATGATTAGTTACACTATTTTATGAAGGCTTGGAAGTATGCATCGTTTGTTTAAACGGAAATGCTTTGAACAGGTTTAAATGCATTGTGATATTTATATACATGGTATGTAGCCTACATTTGTTCTGAATAGGGCTATCAAATGTGTTTATTTTGTAGGTTAAATTTGAAAATGTAATTTTTGGACTATGTTTGCCATATCGTGTAGTAGCTGTCAATCACATTATAAAAAGATTCATTCATTTGAGCTGAAATTATGTGTTCATTTTTGTAGTTTGCTATTAGTCTATGAGTTTTAGAACCCATAGAGTTTAGAACCTACAGCAAACTTCATATTTGTGATTGGATGGTTGAGAATATAAGCTTCAGTTTTTATTTTCAAAGTACATTTCTTGATTCATGACATGCGCTTTATTCTATTCTCTAAGAAAAACATTCTTCTAAGGCTTAAGTTTATAAATTAAAGCTTACTTTATTTTCTTTTGTTTTGAAGGTGATTGTAAATATGGTTCCATGGAAACAGTATAAAAGGATAAAACTGGATTTTCTACCATGATTTTTTTGACATTATTTTCACAATTCCAAATATCATTGGAGACTGCGAATAAAGACAGATTGGGCTCAGAGTTTCTTATTGTGACTTAGTGTTCTGTGATACTGTGTCAGTTGTAGTATTGTTACTTAATTTTTTTGGTGTTCTTATTTTTATATTCATTTTTTATATTTTAGGAAACTTGAATGTTACCCTTCAAATTTGGGATATAGGAGGGCAGACAATAGGAGGCAAAATGTTGGATAAATATATCTATGGAGCACAGGTATGATATGAATTCTGATTATTCCATTATTGAAAGTATACCCCTTACAAGCACACATGCAGATCTACACCCAAATGCACGCACACACATAACATTCTTTCTAATTTTTTGCCTGATGTGTAGAGAGACTGATTTTATATTTGTGTAGTCCTTTGGTTGCATTCTCTCGAAATTATGTTTGGAATGATTTGGGTGAGGGAACAGGAGAACTCTTAACAGCTTTCGTATGTTATTTATATTACTAGATGTTATTGTTAGCAGTTCAGTAAATGCAATGATAAATGATATTTTGATATTTATTAGCTGTTTTGGTTATAGTGACTACTTTCAAATAACCTAAATGAAAAATACAGGGGTGAAAATTTAACTTCATTTAAGTTGCAAGGACTAAAAGGCAAATCTGTATGTCTGTATTTTTGTGCAATGAATTGGTCTAAATACTGATAATTTTTCAGATTTAAAAGACATGTCAATATTTTCTATCAGATAACTAAATATGACAGTGTATATGTGATGCATGTACAATAATTTACTATGATAATGCTTTATTTTCAGAAGAAAATCCATGTAGAGCAAGAAAAATGACCTGAATAATTACATAAAAATTCTTTGGCAACATGGGCTTATATTCACCATGAGCTTATATTAATATAATTTATAAGATTTTAAATAAAGTTATTATACAAACAGAAAATATGCAGGCTAGTAATATACTTTAAAAAGTTAATCATTTCTCTCTGAGCACGTTCAGTGAAGAATTCTTTTTAATATTTGGCAGATTGCTTTTGATTAAGTGACAGACTTTAGAAATGCAGTGATGCCATTGAAAGTAATCATCTGATGAAGTGGAGAATATGCTATATAGCTGAATATTAAGTACATGGTGCTTACTGAGCTCTGTATGTAACATTTGATGTACTATTATTTTTGCTTTTTTCCCTCTACTTTTAATTAGTGTGTATCTTCTACATCATCTGGAGACATAGAGATAATACTCAAAATTTTTAGTTAGCTCTTTATTGCAGTTTGGTATTTTAAGTGGGACAAATATAACTTGGTTATGTAGAACCATGTTGCTCATAATAAATGAATATGTAGGATAGAGTTATAGTATGTTAAGCACTCTGCTGTACAAAGTTTGGTTCTTGTCAAATACCATTGCCTTACTTTTGGATGAAAAATAGATTCTGATTTATTTTGTAAAATACTCAGAGAAGGAGAATATGGCTATAGAGGCCAATATGGTTCCCAATTACATATAGAGGCCCTAGAGTTTTGATTTTTGCATTGCTGATAGGGAGATTTGGCTCGTAAATCCTTTTCTTATCTTTTATACATTGTTCTTTGTCTCCTGCAAACTTTTTCTGTCCACATTTATAACATTTTCATCTGTGGTCAAATGACTTGATATTTTATGCATGTTCATTTTTCTCTTAAAAAGTATATCTCAGAACTTTGTGTCTGGCTTTTTTGTTGTTTAATTTTTTTTTTCTGTTTTAAACTGATTAAAGTGGATACTAAGGTAGAGAAAACTTGCTGGACAAAGATATGTGGGAAGCCACAGTTCTTGTTTCTTTCATGTGGTTGATAAAATGGGAAAATAACACTCTTTTATCTTTGTTCTATAAAATCTACCTTCAAGGCCACATATAGGATTTTTTAAAAATGAAGATTTGGTCTAACTTCTAATGATATTTGACTCTTGGTGTCAAATGGAATAGACTTTTATGATTTATAGGTATAACTAGAGTTAGCGGAGAACAGGGGGACTTTATGCATTTCAGGATAAATAATAATATATAATTCAATTAATATATTTTTCTTCACTTAAAAATTAGGGGCATATAATGCCCATGTGTTGGATTCTGTTAATTCTACCTTACTTCAAATCATTTAAAAATTTATTATCTAATTTATTTAAATTATTTAAAATTTATTACTATTATATAAAAATATTGATTAAAAATTTGTGTATTATAAAGTTAACCATTCTAAAGTGTATAATCAGCTTGGTGCAGTGGCTTGTGCCTGTAATCTCAGCTAATTGGCTGGCACAGGTGGGAGGATCACTTGATCCCAGGATTTTGAGTTTGCAGTGAGCTGTGATCATAGCACTGTACTTCAGTCCAGGTGACAAGTGACACTCCATCTCTAAAAAATGAAATAAATAAAAATAAATTATATAAACAGTATCATTTAGTACACTCACAATATTTCGTGACCATTTCCTTAAGTCAGTTTTTGACAGTATATATTTTAGGTTATTCTAAAGCTGCTGATAATCAGAAGACATTAATGGGAACATTTGTAGAAATTTCAAGAATTTCCATCTTTTTGAAAGCCTGTAAGCTTAGTAAAATGTCTTCATTATTTTTTAAGCTTCTTTATTTCTTGGGAGAAAGTGAATGTTATATTTCTTAGGACTTGTCATGTAAGGTTTCTGTCTTGAAGGTACATAATGACTTTTTTCTCTTTTGGTGTTGCGTTATATCGTTTACACTTTACAATTGCTGTGACTGTTACAAGCATGTACTGTCTTTTTATTAAACAACAATGTAGTACAGTATTTCTGAGAAATTAATGAATGTTTCTATGAAATTGTCTGATAAAACTAGGAATTCTGAGATGATGAAATGAGTTGTCAAAAATTGATTACAGGGCGTGGTGGCAGGCAACCTGTAGTCCCACCTACTTGAAAGACTCACATGGGAGGATTACGTGAGCCCAGGAGTTTGGGGCTAGAGTGAGCTATGATCACGGCACTCTACTCCAGCCTGGGTGAAAGAGCCAGAACCAGTTTATAAAGAAAAAAAAATGGATGAATAATGTAATAACTTTTTTCTGCTTCCTAGAAATTTCGAATAAATGCTGTGTTAAGTACATAAAGTACATTGACTGGTGGTCTATTTTGTTAAATGATTTTTAAATTCTATATCCAGGCCAGAGAAGCTGTGACTTATTACTTACTACTGTAAATTGGAGAAAATGTTACTTTTCAAAAACAGTGCTTTCAAAAACATTCTATTAGCATTTTAATAAGCTCAATAACCTTATATCATATATTTATTCTTCAAAGTAGATTTGTATTGCTTCCGGAGTTACAGATGCTTTATATTGCCTATCGTAAATACTTTGGATTTTGGTACATATGCTACAGGACAGAAATCTTTCACAGATATGTTGACACAAGCCTTTTCAGGATATCAGTTTAATGTGTTATTTAGGGTTTTGTTTTAGTTTCTCTAACTTCTGTATTGTATATAGAAAGAATTATATGTCTGTGCCATTAAACTAGTCAATCTGTTTCTTTGAAGCATTTCTCAACATGTGTGAAGAAGCTTATTTGTAGGCTGGGAGTTAACTTGGGTCCAAATAAAACTGATTATTTTGCCCTCTTCAGCCCCCTTTCCCCCAGCAACATTAAATGTTAGCAATAGTCTGTTGAAAGTGTTGGCGAAAATCAAATTGAATTGACACCCAAAAAAGAATTAGTGAGGTATTTTGACAAGAACTAGTTCTAAGAATTGAAATATGTCCCAGTTAAATTTCCAGATTTTAAATTAACTTAAAAATTTCTAGGAGTTGTTAGAAAGATGTTATAGGCAATTTTTCATAGTGGTTAGGAGCAAACACACAGTACGTAGTGTTTAGTGCCCTGTAACCTGTGGCTAACAGAGGCTAATAACAAACCTCAGAGAAGGACTGCATGTTTCATTTTTGTAGCTCTTTCTGTCCTGAAATCTAAGTGGTTTGCAAACACTGACTCACTGAGCATAAACTCAATGAAGTGTAGTCACTTGTGAGGTAGAACATAACTTCGGTTGTATACCAGTGACCCTACACGGATGAGCCTGCCTTTTAAATACCAACAAAAGGATTTGGTGCCTACCTGACAGGGACAGAGCACATCTCACAACTGGACTCCCCAAGACCTTCTGCTCTCTTTTATTGTAAGTTTTTTATTTGGATATTTGCCAACTTATAACTGACTTTTTTTGCGTTAGTGTTTCTTACAGGTTGTACTTATAAAACAAGATATATGTTGTTCTGGCTATTGTATAATCTGTATGGTTTAATTCATTTCTATATATGATTAAAAAACTAAAATAGATTATTTGTCTTGCATATCAGGGAGAAAAAAAAAAACCTGCATTTTGGGAATGGGATAACCTTTCATTTTGGAGAAGGTTAAATAGTACGTGTATTATGTTTAGTATGTGTTACATTGAAGAACTAAACCTATGCAATACTTTACAAGACTGTTACGTGTTGGCATCAGTGTTTGTTCTTTCAAAACTTCTGTTAAGGCTGGGCCAGTGGCTCATTCCTGTAATCCCAGTGCTTTGGGGGGCCAAGGGAGCACAATTGCTCGAGTCCAGGATCAGAAGACCAGCTGAGCAACATAGTGAGACCCTGGTCTCTACAAACAATTTAAAAAATCAGCTGGGCCCTGTAGTACAAGCCTATAGTTCTAGCTACCAGGGAGACTGACATGGGAGGATTATTTGAGCCCAGGAGTTTGAGGCTGCAGTGAGCTGTCACTGCATTCCAGCCTGGGTGACAGAGCAAGACCCCATCTCTAAATAAAAAAAATTTCTATTGATTATTACCTTGAAAATGGTATCTGTTTGATTTACTCAGTCATCATGTTTATTAGATATGGTGGTAAGTGAAATACATGAAAACAAAGTACTATATAAACTAACATAACATTTACTAAAACTGTTGAAGTTTACAGAAAGGAGGATGGTAGTACCTTCTTGCAATTGAAGTTGGGGGAAGGCAGCTAAGGCATAAAATGAAGGAAACTGTTGTTGAAGAGGGATTTACTAAACTTGAAATCTGATTTCCAAAGGTCATGTAAAAGGTTTCGGAACAACAGCAGCTGAAGGGTAAATTGGGAAGTGAAAGGAAAGGGTGGTATGGGGATAATGACAGTAGAGAGATAAATATCAGCTACGTCGTTGATAACAAAAGTTATTTGGGACATGAGACATGGA